AAAACCATCGTAAGAACTCACCTAGAATACTTTGTTCAGGCTTGATCGCTCTTCTACACAAAAGACAGCCTGTCTGGAGAAGTTCCAGCGACTAGCAACACGGATGGTATGCGGGGGAAAACATACAAAGAAAGGTTGTACGCGCTGTCGTTTATCGCTAGAAAAAAGGAGATTGCTCATCGAAGTGTTTAAGATTAAGAAAAATATTGCTGGGTTTAGACCCGGGGTCCTTCTTCACTGAGGCTCCCCACCGAGGAACGCGTGGAGATGAGCTCAAATATATGAAACAGCGTTCTAGGCTGAACTTACGAGCACATTTCTTTGGCAATAGGATAGTGGAAAATCGGAATGAGCTACCATCGGAGCTGGTTATGCAGCCAAACGTCCAAACCTTTAAAAGAGCCCTGAACGCCAGATGGTTGGAGGTCTTCCCTGACAGAATGTTAAGTGCATAAATTGCTTTCACAGTAAAAGTCTGTCGCCGACACGGCGAGCAGTAAAGTCTCTCTTTCTCTCTGTTTGCAGATAGAAAGAGAAATCAATCAATCGCAGAGGTGGAGCACACCACCGAAGGAATTCTGGACGCTTGATTGGCCTGTGGCCACTACCAGTCCTGTGCAACCTAACCTGATACTATTTCCGTGTGATATCTTACGATATTTCACATTTTACTCACCGGAATTTTGTCTAAGCGTTTGTTCAGAGTTCAGGTAATGGCGAAATTTGGAAAGAAAACTAGTGCCAACGTCTTTCTTTTATTGCGATAATTCTGTTCGTGTTTATTTAAGCACCTACCATAAGCAATTATTCGTTCTAATCCACCTTTTTTGACAGGACCGTTCCAAATATCACATCACTGGTATCGGTATCCAAGATGAACGGTTCTGCAATTTCTGATATGTCTGGACTGGCTAGAACAGGGGCTACTGTAAGGGCCTCAAACGCCGTCTCACATTCCTCGAACAACGTAAATTTTTACCTCTTTTAGTCAAATGCTGTAATGGTGCGGCTATTTTGAGAACTCATGGACGAAACGGCAGTAATACGTGGCTATTCCAAAAAACTTTGAACCTCTTCGATAATATTCGGCGTTTATCAAGTTGATATTTGGTTTGCTTTCTGGAAGTCTCAATACCCCCTCCTCGGGCTAATCGTGTGACCGAGAACCGCAATTGGGAGCACAGTAGATGACACTTGCTGGGTCTTAACTTCAACTCGGTGGCCTTAAGATGTTGCAATATCCACTGCAAATTCTTGAGACTTTTGTCGAAATTCTTCCTATAATCAGTGATGCCATCGAGGTATACAAGCCAACTTCTCGGGGTCAACTCGCCCAGCATCTTCTGCATCAAACGTTTGAAGGTCACCGGAGCGTCTTTCAGCCCAAACGGTATTAACCGTACCTCCCTGCCTCTACGAGTTCCAAACAATACCGTTTGGGTCTCATCTCTTTTTGTCATATCAGCTTCCCCAAAGGTTTTGCAGTTACTCCAAGAAGCTGCATGGGTTCCGTTGATACGATTTTGGGTTCCACAGATATGATGCTGGTTCCGCATGTTTAGTCAGGGGCACAATTGTTACGGAGAAACCCGTGTTATCTCTGGAGACGTCGAACCGTTTTGATCATATTCGGGACGTAGGTTTACTAATTACAATGCTGCATTTAGGCTTTTGCATGGAACTAGTTTTGGACAGCAAGTTTTATCAACGGCCGCGCCACCTCCGTCCGAATGGACGGAGCGATATCTCGTTCTGTACTTAAGGGTTTGTACCTTGCGTCAGGTTTTGTCCCTCTGTCATTGACACTTCTTTATTATATCCCTATTTCGCTTTGCGCTTCACTGACACCAGCTCTAGAAACGATCACCACGGTCTTGATATGTAATTTAAATCGAATCTCGCTTGGAGCCACTTTGATTGTGTTCAGTGCTGAAAAAATACTCCCATATGCTAATTTGTATTACTTATAGGTCTTTCTTTTTTATACTAAATTTTGATGGTTCAGTACGCGTCAACAGCTACAGAACGAAGCGTCGATGCTTATTCGTCGTATCCGCGTATGCACCGACCGATTGCAGTTCACTAGAAATAAAGGATGAATTCTACAAGGACCTCTCTCTATTGCTCCAAAGCGCTCGATCAACGAACATCGTGGTGGTCGCTGGAGACTTCAATGCTCAAGTGGGATCACTGGACGAATCAGAGAGGTTACTTGGTGGTCCGCATGCAAT